TTGCATTTTATTCTTTGTATGGCAACACTGGATACTTGTCGCGTAATATGCTTAGTTTAAAGTTATTTATTTAATAATTTAGTGTATTTGACCATACAATGTTTTGAAAGAGAGAAAATAATGTTATAAAAAAAACGTTTCTTTCATAACACGATTACCGATTCTTTTAATGCATTAATAGAACCTAGGCACGAGTCAAATGTAGTACGTTTAGGTTAAACATTTCATCAATTTAAAAATTTTAAATGCATGTTAAGAACTGATAAAGAGTCTAATCTATCAAGAAAGAACTAAAAGGACCACATGTTAAATAATGGGCCTTTTGGAGCATTGGGATTAGCAAATATTTCAGGATAAAAGATTGAAAATAATTTTGAAAGCAATAGAACATTTTTTAAGCCAAATAAAACCAAGTAAAGAAAATCCTTCTCTTTATAGTATTAGATAATCATACCTCCCATTAAAACCTGTGATAAAAATTGTCAGACAAACATTTTTTAAAACTTCGAACTTTTCCACCACCAGTCCTTTCCAGGACTTAGTACTTCCCATATAAACTATATGGGAAATATAGTTTATATATGAAGTGCATTTATAAATAAACTATAGCAGGGCCGGCGCGAGTAGGTGTCACGTGATGGCGGGGGGCGGGGGAGGGTGTGCCATTACAACTTTTGCCGACAAAAAAAAAAAAAAATGAAAAAAAAAGGTCCTTGTTTTTTAAAATTTGCCTACTGCCCTCCGACTGCCATAACGACATTTGCTAACTGACTTGTCGAAATTTACCGACTAATTAGTAAAATTTGCCGACTAAATCAACGAAAAAATCACCACAAAAACTTCCCCCTCCTCCCCGTCGCGCTGGCCTTGAACTATAGTATTATTAAGAAGATTAAAAATTAAAAAAAAAAATTTAAAAAAAAAGTATGGTTCTGTTGATTTTAGTGGTACCAGATTATTGAATGATTTATAAGAATTAAAAAACAAAGTATTGTAAAAAGAGCAATAAATATAATGGTGTTGTATGTTATTGACAATATGGTAATGGATTTTGAATCTTGCGATTTCAAAGGTGCAATTAACTTCTTCTGGCAAAAATATTTCTGATTTTTTTTTTAGTTTTTGACGTTGACTAATTTATACAAGGGTGTTATTGTTGATTAATAATGTAAAACTATTATTAAAGCTGTGATTATTCTACCACTTATTCTACAACTTTAAGTACAATCTGATTTTTAGAAGTCTATTTAAGAGATTATAATATTGCCACTAACTTATATTAAATAGGGGTAGGCTCTGTTTCCATAATTAATATTATTTACCCCCCTTTTGTTTTGGTAAATAATTTCTCAAGTGTTTGATCTTTTAACCAATTAACATTAATTAAATTAAAAACAAAAATGCCTCGAAACTGCAAGAGAGAATTCGTCACCAGTTATAGCACAGAAAAAGTGGAAAAAGCTATTGTAATAGTTTAAGCTAGCGGATTGAGTTAAAAGCAAGATGCAGAATTGTACAACATACCTCAAAGGACATTAAAGGAAATTTTCAAAAACCAGAAAGGGTAGCCGGGTTTGTATTGTTAACAACTCACAACTTTAGAAACATTTTGTTTTGAAACCTTTTAAAAAAAATTGAGTTATTGATAGTTTTCTGTACCTCAAAAGAATGTTTTTTTACTGTAAGTTAAAAAGTTGCTGAAAAAACATAAGTTATAAAAAAAGTTATATATGCCGTCTACTGAAGCTTTTTTTTAAATCGTTTTTATCTAAAAACTCAAAAATGTGAAGGTAGAACAAGAGAATTCTAACATCACGAACTCTAAGCTATGTGACTGAATTCTTACTGGTTGAAGTTAGGGGGGCTTCAGCGTATTATTCTCTGAAATTCAATCTCCGTTGTTCGACAATTTGAACGAAACAAATCAAACTGTCTCACTCAAGAATGGAGAGTTAACGATTGAATGGTACATGGGTTTCAAGCAACACTCATCCCATGAATGAAGCCAACACGAAGCACTGAGAATTTCAACAGCGAGAACAGAGTGAATTTTTTTGAAATACTTCAAACAACTTACAAAAATGCAGACGTATTGGGCAAGCATTAAAATGTTTTTAAGGGTGATGAAATCGTTTTGAATTGTGATCAAGGTTTAAAAACAGTTTTAGTTAGAAGTAGAGCAAGGCTTTTGTTGGTGGAAAATTGATTAGAGTGAAAAAGTTCACTTTTTTTTATTAGAAAAATGTATCATTAGTGAAAAAGTTCATTACACTGTCAATAATTGCTGCGATGCTAACGGTAATTATTTTCCACCTTTTGTTGTCTAGAAAACAAAACATTTTTGGACTTATTAAAGTATTTTGTGGATTTTCTAGTAAGTGCAATACTGTCTCTACTCAATTGAATGGAGGAGGATCAATTTGTACAATGAATTAGATCTGTGTTCAATCCTTTTAAAAATGCAAGTTCTCAATTAGTTTGGGAAAAAATGCAATTGGTGAGCAAATTAATTGAAGGGATTTTTAAAAGTCTTCTAAAAGTAAGAAATCAAGTTAAAAAGGCCAAAGAACGTGTCAAAATTGTAATCGAAGGTAAATGTCTCACAGAATCATCGATTTTTAAACAAGTAAAGACAGTAGAAAAAGATTCAAAAGCCAAAAAGCAAGCTAAAAATAAAAGCCAACTATTGAAGCAAAAAAAACTGACGTTTGACATTGGAGAAGATAAAGACGATAACCATGATGAAAACGAAAATTCAAATAAGAAAAAAAATGCAGCAAAGCAAAGTATCAAAAGCCATTCAACAACTGATCAACAAAACCATTGGTTGCAATGCAAGGAAAGCTCTTGTCGAAAACGGATTTGTGAAAAATGTCGACAATAAAAAAAAAAATGCAGCAGAATTTTATTGCTCACTTAAATGTAAAAAACGATAAATTTTTAAATCTCTTAAGATTTATTATAAAGTTTTTGCATGGTTTTAAAACTAATTTAAAAAGTCTTTAATTTGATTTTAAAACTCTATTTTTAGTTTAATTAAAGTTTTTTTCCTAACTTTTTTAGTACCGTTAGATTGTTTTTATTTAACTGATTGTAAATGTTTTTTATAAATTTTAATAAAATTTTGTATTTATGTGGTTCAAAATAATAGTTACTATAATAAAAAACTTCTTCCGTTTGCATATTTGGTTCTTAACTTAAATTTAAAGAACTGATGGCAAAATTACCCCAGTTTACTCTCTCTTTCACTCTCTCTCTCACTCACTCTCTTTCTCATTCACTCTCTGTCACTCTCTCTCTTTCTCAATCTTTCTCACTCTCTGTCTCTCACTCTCTCTTTCTCTTTCTCTCTCTCACTCTCTCTCAATTTCTTATTCACACTCTCACTCACTCTCTCTCACTCTGTCTCAGTCACTCTCTCATTCTCTTTCTTTCACTCTCTCACTCTCTCTCTCACTCTCACTCACTCTCTCTCTCTCTACAGTTTATTCTATATTAATTAAAAATATTCGGGTAACGGAATAAAATCTTGAAACATTAGAAGCTTTTAAAGAATTCAAAACTTTATTATATTTAATTAGTGATTACCAGTGATATTTTCGTTCACGAGAACGAAAACGAGAACGAAAAAAAAAGCCTTTCGTTTACGAAAACGAAAACTAAAACGAAATTTATTTTAAGAACGAGAACAGAATAAAAACGATAATTTTAAATTTTCGAACGGAATAAAAACTGAATCGAAAATTATTTTAAAACGAAATATTTTCGTTCTAGATTTGAAACGAGTTGAATTATTTGATATATATAATTATTATATTACAATACATTATAATGATATATTATTCGAACTTAATTGAATTTTATTCAATTAAGTTCGAATAAGTTTAGTTATGATATAGTTCAAATATATTTATTCGAATATATTTTTTCGAACTAAAAAAAATCAAACTGTAAGACCAACACAACTACGCGATGAGTTTGAGTAAACTTTTTGCTGGTAGGAAGAGGAATAGTTCAGTATGGAAATGGTTTAAATACGATGCGTCATCCGACAAATCAGTATGTTTAGTTTTACTTGATGGTGAAAAAGTATGCAATACAAAGTTGTGTCGAAAGAACCCAACAAATCTTAAAGTTAGTTTATCTGTTAGAGGATATGTTTTCATTTTGAAACAAACGACTCATTTTTATCATTTTAGAGTAATTATTTAATAACGTATACGAACTTATTTATACATTAATTGATAAACAGATAGATAAATAAACATATAAATATACAAACAAAAAATTATATAAATATGTTTATTTTTTTCTAGCTACATTTAGCAAGAAACCATAAGTCTGTACACGTTGAGCTGGAAGAGTCGGAATTAAAGAAATTAAGTGAAAAAAAGCAAACAGGGATATAGAGAAAAGCAGTGGATAGAAATGGACCCACTCTTTTAGAATCGTCCTCAAATCAGAACCAGACCTTGATTCAATGCATTAATCGTAGGAATACCGCATGGCCTATTAATTCACACGAGCATAAAATTCGACTAAACTCTCTTATTCAAATGATAATTGCAACATGTAATCCAGTGACATTGGTGGATAATGCGAGTTTTAGAAAGTTAGTTAATACCTTGGATTATAAATTTTCATTGCCTGCTTCTGCCAAAATTACTAGCCTACTTAATGAAGAATTTACTGTTTTAACGAGAAAACTTCGTGACTTCATATCTGAAGGCAGGCGCTTCACAATATGCCTTGATGGCTGGACTAAAAAAGGTCTTACTGCGTCCTTTTTAGGAATTTCGGTTTGTTTTTTTCACTTCAAATCCGAAAAACCAATACATGCTCTGCTTAATTTGTATCTTGTGAAACATCCACATACAGGTGAACAAATTGCTAATTGTTTTGAAAAATGCCTAAAATATTGGAATATTTCCAGAGAAAAAATATTGCTTGTTATTTCGGACAATGGAGCAAACATGGTCAAAGGCATAAGGTTGTCGAGAATGAAAGCTCAAGCTGAACGTGATATACTTATTGAATTAGAAAGTGAGGTTAATGAAGAGCAGATATCAGATCTGGAAGACGATGAGAATATGACAAATAGTGAAGAGTGGGAACATGTTGACTTGATAGCTGATGTAATAGAAAACGTAGCATTTAGAAGATTGGGATGCATTGCACATGTTATACAGCTAGTTGTAAAACTTGCATATGATGGTAAATATCATGGCTTACTTTTGAAAGTACGTGGATTAGTGGGAAAAGTTCGCAAATCTTCTGTTGCATTGGAAAAAATTATCAACAAATGTGGTAAGACTGTGATCAGCGACTGTTCTACAAGGTGGAACAGCACTTACTTTATGGTTCGGAGATTTCTGGAAATAAAGACATCTATCAACGAAGTGCGTGGAGACCTTAACATTGATTCACTTGCCAATAGCGAATGGATAATGCTTCAGGATTTTGTCAATCTTTTAGAACCTTTTGCCAATGAAACTGATATTCTTCAGACGGATGCACTTTCACTATCCAGTGTTATACCTTCAATACTTAATTTAGAATGTCACCTTGAGCAATTTGGAGATGCCAAAGATGTAGCAGTTAAAATGCTTGAAGATCTACGCCGTCGTTTTGCCATTCTTTTGCAGCCAAACGATCCTAATTTTAATCCACTGCCATGTGCCGCATGTCTACTTGACCCCACATGTGCAATAGCTCTTTTAGGTAATGAGCATACACAAATCAGAGAGTGTGCAAAGAAATACATTTTGTCAGAGGCTAAAAAATCGGTGCAACATGATTTACCTTTAGCAAGTGCATCTACTCTTTCTGTTGAGATTGCTCTAGAAATAAATGGATTAACAAATTGGAAATTTTTAGCGGCAAAACAGCGAGTAGAAAAAATAAAGCTTATTCCAGGTAATGAAGCACAAAATGAACTCAACAAATATTTTATTGAAATAAGGAACAGCTCTATGTGCCAAAATGCTTTAAATTTCTGGAAGATGAGACGTGCTGTTTACCCACATATTGCACCATTAGCTGAAGACCTCATTGCAGCTCCTGCAACTCAAGCATATGTTGAAAGACTTTTTTCAATCTGTGGCTTGCTCACAAATGGACGGAGAAATCGAATGTCAGCGTCATTGGAAATGCGAGTTTTCTTAAAACTAAATTCTCATCTAGTCTAGATGATAATCATGTAATCACTAGGCCCTTTATTTGTAAAATATATGAGTAATTATTAAAGTCTATACAATAACTATTCATTACTTTTTATTGTTACCAAATTTGAGGAGTTTTTTTTATACCTAATAATTGAAATTTTTTTAAGTTTTAGAGCAATAAGGACAGGTTGTTGTTGTGTTTTTTATTAAGGGCGGTGGGCGGGGCTCTAAACTTCTAGCCATGGGACTGGGTGTATTACATTTAATTAAGTTCTCATTTTTTTGTTTGTTTATAGAACTAAGACTTACTTCTTTTAATTATATATGCCTATATTATTTATAAATTATACTAAATTATAACTAGATGAGATAAAAAATTTATACGACAAACGAAAATTGAACTAAATAAAAACTAAAACTAAAATTATTTTAAGATGAACTGAATAAAAACTAGAACTAAATTTATTTACTGAACTGAATAAGAACTAGAACTAAAAACTTTGCCTCTAAGCTGAATAAAAACTAAAACTAAAATTATTTTCCGAACAAAAATATCACTGGTGATTACTATGTTTTTTGGACGCATAACTTGCATTTATTCGGTTGCACGATCGTCAGTATTACGGTTAATTTGTAATATTATAAAGTAACTATTTTTACATTGCGCATATGAATACTTAATAAAAACAAATATGAAGCAAAAATTATGATTAAATTAAATAGAAAACTAAGTCTAAGAAAAGTAAAACTTGACAAAACTAGTTTTGTAGATTATTTATTCTTAACTATTTCAATATTTTTATTATTATAATAATCAATTATTAATACTGCTTTTATAAATGTTTATAAATTTATTTCAAACAGTTTTTACATTTCTTTCAGATCTCTAAAACTTTATTTCTTTGCTATTTCTAGTCCCGATTTCAATAAAGGAAATCTTTTCTCCACTTCGAGATAAGGTTGGTCGACTGCTCAACTGGTCAAAGGTTGGTCTACTGGTCATTAAAAACGTTTTAGACAATGACAAAAATGTAATTGGTATTGTTCTTCTAAAATCTTTTTTATAAAGGGCATAAATAAGCGGATTGATTATTGAGATTATATATCTTAGAAGAAAAAAAGTCTCAAAAAATTCGCTTGGGAGCTCTGAGATTACGGGATGATCTAAACATATAAAGCATTTTACCAACAAATATGGGAAGCAAAATAAAACAAAGGAGACAAACATAATACAATTGACTATGACGCCTTTTAACTCTCTTGACCAAACCTTTTTTGATTGTATTCCTGGATTCTTTTTTGAAAGCCGTCGAATTAAAGAAAATAACCAAATATATTGAAACAACAAAACAAAAATTGGTATAAATGAAAACAGTGCAATTGTTGTAACCGTATAAATTTTGTCATTATGCAAAACAGCAAGTCTTGTATGATTATTTGGTTCACTAATGTAAGGTACTACCCAGATAAGTTGTATGAGCGTAACAAATGCTCCAACGACCCACGCGGTAAACGATAAAACTATAAGTCTTTTTCTTGTAACAATTACAGTACAACGGAGTGCATAATAAAGCAAAACAAATCGCTCACTTGATAACAACAGTAAATGTAAGACAGAGGTAATTGTCAAACCATTTGTTATAATATCACTCGATGCAAAGTAAGCGAGATCAAAAACATGATGCACTGTTGAGCAATCTTTAAAAAGGGTGTAATAATATGGCATTATATGAATAAACATAGAAATACCTGATACTAAATCTGTAACAGAGAGGCTAATCAGCAAAATATTTGCTACTGTTTTACGTAATGTGCGGTTCTTTAAGAATAAGTAAATTACTAAAGAATTAGCAAAAATGATTAAAAAGGCAAGAACTAACGCTGGAATATGAAATGCCGCTTTGAATTCGATTGTACATGTACTAAGATGCAATTCTAAAGTATCGTTTATTGAGTTGGTTGCTGATATGTTCATTTTGCATATTTTTGAGTCTATTGTTGTCATATTACCCGTGTATATATTTGAGTCATTTATTGACACATTCATCTTGTTTACTTGGAAAAAATGATTTAACGTGGGCGAGAATATAAAATTGTCATTAATTTTGACAACTCTCAATTATATTGGTGACTTTTGAATGTAACCACTCGTTAAAATCAAAATATATGTAGGAAATCTAAATAAAGGTAGGAAATTGTTATATTAAAAATGCAACAATTATAAAAACTATAACAACATGTCGGCTTCACACTACTTAATATACAATATATCATTTTGTTATACATAATCATGTATATTTTGTTATACATAATCATGTATATTTTGTTATACATAAATGTCACAAACATAATATCATATCCAATATACTTTACGAGTTAATTTTTGTATGTTTAATTTTTTATAGTTTGTTTTTAATTTTTCTTATGGTTTGATTTTAATTTAAATTTATGATCACATTTACCTTTTTAACTAGCAAGGCCTGGTAAATAATTACTTATTTAAAATTTTGGTTTAATTTGAAAAAGGAAAAATGGTCTTAAGATCCGATTCCGGTAATCCTAATTGACCCAAATTTGACCAAAAAAACTAAATCTATTTGGTTTTTTTAATTTGAAGACATTGTTTAAATATTTTATCATTACTTTTAAAAACAATTAATGTTGAGTGTTTGCTTTAATTAATTTATCTCTCAACTTTTTTTTCCTACATCTACACCACTGTCAACCTTAACATAACAAGAATTATTTTATTCATAATTCTTAAAAATTACTTCTAAGCAAATTCATTACAACTTCATAGATGTCGAAAGGATGTGTAGGCTGTTTGTTCATCAAAATTGAAATCAGTTTTAATGAACGTTCAAACAGCGAATAGATATGTTTAAAACAATTTTTAAGTCAAAAGTAAAAATAAATGTGCTAGAAAATCGCAACTTTAGAGTTAGAATGTGTTGTTGCTAAAGCAACACGCACAAAAACATTTCTTCGTCATGTTAGATAAGCCTAATTGATGGGGAGAGTAAGTTGCCAACAGTTAGAGTCATACTGTTGTTAAATTATTCGCCAGCAACATGTCTAAGCGCAAAAGTCAGAAGTACAAAAATAATTGTAAAATAAAACAAATTTTTTTTTTACAATTATAACAAATATAATTGTAAAAAAAAAAGTTGTTTTTTTTACAATTATATTTGACACAAGGTCGCAGAAAGGTTGCAGAAAGGTATCGTTAAAATTAGAAGATCTTATATAAAGCAATAGAATTTTAAAATATAGTAAAAATATTATGAATAATTAACAAATTATTAACACATAACAACAACAAAATTAACAACACAAAATGATTTATTTGCTAAACCATCGACTTCTATCTTCAAATTAATAATCCATTCTTTATTTTAGAAATAGATCAACCTAAAAGGCATCTCAGCTTGATCATTGTTGTACATATTATAGATGCTAAATATGTGTGCCAATTAACTAATTGGTTATTACATTTCGATGTATTAATCTACTGATCACTAACTTCATCTAATTTCTCATAAAAATCTTTCAATAAAAAAAATTCATAACACTTAAATAATTAAAAAAAAAAACATTTTCCACTTTTTATTTTCGATTATTAAAACTTAAATTTTTTATTTATTTTTACTTTTTTTCAAGGCGTAAATAAACAATTTAAACATTTATCAATTTTTAGGATGCTATTTTGTCTTTTTTCTAAATAAGTAGAAAGTATAAAATTTACAACTAAAAATCTAAACTATGAAATTTGGAAATCTCTATTTTTATAATTCCAAATATTGAAATGTTAAAACGTACATATACAATTATATAATAAGAGATAATCTACTTACAAAAATTAATAAATTTTTAATCAGAAAAGATATAATTAGAGATATTCATATTATTTTCTATAATAGAATTAGAGATATTCTAGTAACAAACAATCAATGAATTTTTAATCAGAAAAGGTGAATGTTTGCTGATGCGTAAAATAAAATACTTATATATAAGTATTTTTTATTTTGTTTTTTTTGTAATATGCTTTATTTTAAAAGAATTTAAAACTACCAATATCTAATTATAATTAGATAGTGGTAGTTTTAAATTCTTTTAAAATAACGCATATTAAAAAAATATATAAGAAAATAACTTGTAATGGACAACTCAAGAGTGGTTAGGAATAACAAGAAAAAATAAATGTTTGAACTGAAGTAGCATATAGAAAAAATAAATGTTTGTACTGAAGTAGCATTTAGGCACAAAAATAAACCGCTAAACTAATATAAGCCAATCCACATAATAATGGCTATAAAGCATAATACTTAATCAACATAATAATTTTTATAAAGCAAGTAATTTTTTTATTTATAATATTTTATTTTTAAAACTATTTAACAATTAGTTCTGCTAAATACTTCTGAGACTAGAAGAATGGCCTAGTGTAAAGAAAGATTTTTCATGCTTTTGCTTTAACAAAACTATAACCAGTACTAGAAACCTTATCAAAAAATCGTTGTTTTGTCACCAAAGATCAAAATATACCAAAAATAATGGATAGAAAATAAGTGCTTGAAATACTTGAAAAGGATTAAATAACTGTTAATAACTGTTTAATCTTATAAAATAACTATTAAGTATCTTAAAATCTTAAAACCCGGATTAGTTTTATTATTTCAAAGATACTCGTTAGACTTGACGTATAAGTGCTTGCCTCGGCAATGTTATATTAGCTAATATAATTATGAATAAATGAAAAATAATTATGAATAAATAAAAAGTAAATAGATTTTAAACAGTTTTTTATCCAACTTATATTTAGTTTTATGCATATAGTTCCTAAAGTTTTTAAAATTTTGTTTCTAATAGATAAATGTGCTCTTCAAATGTGCTTTCCAACTTATTTGCTTATCGATTAAAACGCATAAGAATTTAACTCCGTAGAATTTAATGTCCTTTGAAACAAATAAAACCGTTATAGTTTTTATTACAAAATAAATTTTTAGCGTTTTTTACTTAATATTTTTTAATTGAACTCAAACTATAATATTTAGTGAATTGTATTGCAAAATATATTCATGGCTAACTAAATGTAAAATTCATGGTTATATTTAAGGGGGTAGCTAAAGTTACCCCGTTTGAAGGGATAACTAAAGCTATATAATTGAAACTGTACAAAAGATTTTTTTTGAAGATTTAAAATTATCCAAAATCCAAATTTGATCAACGTGATCTATACTTATTTTACTCAAGTTTAAATTTTTATTCAAATTTTTTATTCTTAGATTTTTGCTTTAATCAGCTTTTTTAATAGTGTTATTAAATTAATATTCGGATGACTTAATTATTTAAGGTTATCAGGTAAAAAAAACAGCGATTTTTGTGAAAAAAATGTGTTGTTTAGTTTATTAGCCAACTTTGTGTAAAATTCAATTGGCTTTTCAACTATATATAACATGATATGGGTTTAATAATATAAAAATATAAAAATTTTTTTTTAGATTGTTAAAGTAAAAAAAATTTACTTAGCAACCGCATAGCAACGAATAGTTTTTTATAGATATATTACCCAAAAAACTAGATTTAAACAATAATTTTTTTTCATGAGTCTGTATAATTAATTAAACTTTTTAACCAAAGTTATTGTAGTAGTATATCATATTTCAAGAAATTTTTATTTAATAAATTGTTTTTAAACTTTGAAGCTTGATTTCTCAAATGTATTTTTTTGCCTGACTGTGAAAAGCGAATCATTCATATCTTTTTAACCAGATATGCAAATGAGTTCAAATTTTCAGGGTTGTTTCTTTATAGATAGAACTACAATAGCTTACTAGAATTAATCTTAAACTTGTTTCCATTTGAATATATTGATATTTTACTATAGGCTTTTGTATCAATAATTTTCTTTAAAATTGAAAAAGCTGCTATTTTAAAAAAATAATTATTTTTAGTTTTTCTAGTAAGCTTATGTTTATTACACTATAATCTATCAGTGTTTTAAGTTTAAGCTCATAAAGAGGCTGAGAAAATGTTGTTTCCTTTTTCAAAAAAAGTAAACTAATTTTTTTTAGCATTTTTGATTATGTTAATAAGTATGTTTCTTTTAAACTAATCTTGGTATATGATTAAGTTGGCAATCGAAAAATAATTTTTTTACCTGATAACCACCTTAAACAAGTTACGTCATTATTAATATTAAGGTGAAATAACTTGTTTGATTTATTGTAGTGATAAAACTCTATATAACATATATCAATTGTAATAAATGGTTACCATCTTATTTTAAAACGTTTCAGATATTCAAATAATATTAAAATATCATTTAAAAATGACAGGTATAACTAAAATTGAATCAGTTATTTTAAAAAGGTATGCAACACTTCTTTGTTTATTTTTTAAAGTTTTTTTTTTCAAGTTGTTTTAAACGATTTGAAATTTTTTATTTCCTTAAAAAAACAATAAAGTAGAAATATAAAGCTTTATATTTACTAGATACATCGTTTTAATATTAATTTTAAATAAATGTTTAATAATTAATAATTATTTATGAATAGGATTAACAGAGGTGATTTAAGAATAAAATGGAAGGGTGGGAGTGAGTGAAATCCTTAAAAAGTATCGAATGGTTTCAAAAAAAATTTAAATCTAATTTTAATCTCAAAACTAAAATTCTGAAGAATGAAATGTGTTAAATGCCAAGTAGCCGACTATATTCCTTTAAAATCCGACTAGAAGTTAAAAATAGCCTTCTTTTGGGGTGAGGGGGGAAAGGTATCACATATTTACACACCCTTAAAATCGCACTTTAGCTTCAAAGGTATTATAAAAGAACAAGACAATAGGAGTTATTACTTAATCACGTTACAACGTTTTAAATATTATAGCATTATCAAATTTGTTGTTTGGTTGATGCTTGGTTGGTTCATGCTCGATAATGTCGGTTGGTTCATGCTTGGCTTTCAATTTTGTAACGTTCGAAGTTTTAAAATTAAATACTAACGTTGCAATCCATTTAATAAAAGCTTAACTTATAATTTTACGGTCAAAACAATTTCCAATTCAATTTTACAAAATTTTGCTGGTAATGTAATTGACAAACAATTTCCGACTATGATGTAAAAAAAGTTTTTTCCTGAGTAAGATATTTAATTTTTGATATATGATTTCGTTGTAA